TTATGTATACATATAGATACAATATACCATAGTTAAACTATGACTGTACATTCCTCTATGTATATACATGTATACAACTTACTTGATTTTCTAAGTAAATAACCGAAAAAGATGTTAATTAACGATAAATATGTTATATATAATTGTAGTAGACACACAAAGTTGTCCGTTCTTGAGAGCACTTTTCATCTTTCTGGAGTTCGAGACGTCCTAGGATTTTTGGCTTCCGTCCGTAAAAATGATCTAACTCCATGGACTAGGAATCGAGGACAGCTATTTCGGTCAGCGGCGTGAATTGCGGGCTCGTATTTTTATAATTACAATATGGCGGATAACAATTATTATAGCGTCGAACGAATTATGCACTAGTCAATTGAAACCCCCACCCCCGACCCCCGCGAAATACCGGGGAATTTAACAGTTGAGTGGTGTTAAAATCAGACATTTTCCCCGGTAGTCGGGGGCACATTCACTGTTAAAACCCCCGCTATTGTGGCCCCGTTATTTTGGTTTAGTAGTCAACAAGAAACACATTTCACGCCAACTCCAAATTCTTGTGGTACGCAGAGCCAATTGTTGTGTGTTCCATGCACTAAATATTCAATGCTCAATATTTTCATGGGCTCTGAACCTCAAATCGTGCGATTCGTTCAAATCGTCAGCTGAGAATTTAATGGTACTAAAATGAAAATGAACAATGCTTGTAAATATTGCGAAGCAGTAGTTTTAATAGATAAATCATGATCTGATTCTACATTCGAACTGACCGAAACGACTGAACAAAACCCGCGTATAAGAACCTGGGTTTTAAGAACCTGTTAGGCTAAAATTCTCACTTTAAGACCCCTCCACATAAGAACCTATTAAGGCTACGATTTTATGAAAGGTTCTTATCAGTGGAGTTCAGTGTAAAAGTGTATAGGTAGAAACTGCTATAAGTTTGTTTGAGCATGTGTTTTGTGTAGAACATACTGCTCTGTACTAGGCTACGGCCTCTGTGATTGGAATCAAAACGCCTTCTTGGTATTTTTCAAGATGGCCGACCTCTTGTTTCCAGGCCGTTACATATTCAAACGAGCGTTAAAATCCCCGCTCGATTCCCCGCTGAGAAAGCCATTCGTTAAATCCCCGATCCCCCGGTGCAATCATGCTCCTAAAAGCACATCAAAAACACGTCACGTCCCCGTTCAGTGTCCCGCTAGCCGCGGGGGTCGGGGGGCGGGGGTTTCAATTGACTAGTGCATTATTGCTAAGAAAAACGAGGGAAATACGGTGAGTTTCTTTGATAAGGTAACTTGATATACAGTCAATTCAAAAAACGTTGTCGTCGACCGGCTCAAGCCTACGCGACTGGACCAAAAGGAATATGGGTAAAAATCACTGAAGCGGTTAAATATTCGTTCTGAATTAATTGTTCCCGCTAGTAATAAGATAATAATGGCGAGAAACATTCCATCAATTGCATGTCTTTGGGTTTAGGGAAAGAAAAACCAAGTAGTTATGATTCAGTTCACAAATACGAAAATACGAAGGCATTAAAAAACGTCTCCTTCGACACTTCCCGCTCGCCTACGAAGGTTCGTGCTGTAAACCAGGCATAACTAGTCAGATAAAATTATGGAGTCAACTCGGCTTCAATGATTGCTACCCAGAGTTCCTTTCGGTCCAGTCGCGTAGGCTTGAGTTGGTCGACGACAACATTTTTTGAATTGACTGTATAACATAAGTCTGGCTCAGAAATAGTAACTTGTTTTTGATATTACCACTCACAGGGCTTTATCTCGTCCGACATTTTATCCATTTTATACCAAATTTTTAGCCCCAGTCGAGACTTTCCTCATTTGGGATGCCTGTGGTTCATTATAGGGGAGGTTACAATAGCAAAACATAAAGAAAATGGCGACGAAATACAACAAGGGCCCAAACAACATGAAGACAATCTACAAGGTTTGTCTCATTTCCCGTGCATCCAAAAATTCTCATCCACTTCTTTCTGCTTCGATTTCCAAACATGGTTTCTCTTAATGCATATGTTGCTGGGGGCAGTCGCAGTGAGCGACAGAGCACTTTAGCATCGTTGATATCCCACTCGTTGCTACATATTCCACCTCATGTTCCATTATAGAACAACTCCACAAGACCTTCATTAGGAAATTCACCTCCAGCCAAGCGATATGTAACTGAGAAGAAACAACTTTTATATATATTGCATCAAGAAAGTATAAATAAGAGAGGGAAGCTTCTTATGGTGGCGCGCGCCATGTAAATTCCCGGTTGGGCTATTCTTAGAAACCGGACGCAGTCAGAATTTCGCCTTACCCTACTCCCGCGCGTGTGCTTTTTCCGTTTGTTGTTTTGATCTTGTTTTTCGTCGTTTTTAGTGATCAAAACAACAAACGGAAAGAGCACAGCATGCGCTAGTTGACGAAATGCATCCGGAACCTCGGCGGACATATTTTCAATTTCCTCACTAGTGAAGATATCGGATGAAGTGTTTCCCAATGTTTTCAACAAGTTTTTGCTTGTGAATGTGTCTATGTAATAATGATAATAATAATGAAAAAATACACGTTGGCTTAATTGAAGATATGAAATTTTTCTTCGGGTGGTGAAATATTTTTATCTTCTAATTTACATACAACCTATATTTGTCATAGACGATAAGATTATGAAAGATTCTTAGGCAAACCACCTAGAAATATTAAAATATATTGTACACTGTTACTAGAATTTCGGAAATATATGAATAATCTAGTTTACAGACGCGCTAGTTTTGTGAAGCGAGCGAGAACAATATTTTGAAAAATCCGCTATGAATTAGTTGGGATCCACTCCGCCCTTTCCCTGGTATCGAGGGCTTGTGACTTTAATTGACTAGTGCATAAAGTAAAGGCATGGGTAAGATTCGATTTTTCTTTTAAAAAAGGAGGTAAAGTAGCGTGTTTCGTTCGAAAGAATTATGTGTCGATTTGGCTCTACACGGGCATAGTTTAAGGAAGTCTAAACTTTATTGTGTCACACAAACCAGTCCAATACCACGAAAAAACAGGCTAGGGAAAAGGCCCGGTGAAACCTAAAATAATCCAAGGCTAAAATTACAATGTATGATAGGAAATCAAAAGGAGAACAGTACAAAAAACCTCACCGAATTGACACCACGGAACACAAGCACGGCACACTACTTCAAGCACATGTAAAACATATACCGCGCAAAGGATTGCGGGAAAATTATGCAGAAAACGTGGAATGGAAACACGGGAACTTCGTAGTCACTAGCTAATACCCTTGTTGAGGATTAGCCTCAACAGGAGGGGCGGCAAAATAAGTTGTTCATTAATTTTGATTAATAAGGCAACAAAACAGGTTTAAGAAACCCTTACTGAATAAGAATAAACAAAACTAACTATCCTGTTTCAATGCAAATATTTTAAAAAATACATAAGAAGGAGTTAACGAGTTATGCAAGTAAAGACAGGGCCGTAACCAGAACTTTTACGGGGAGGGTGCACTTCGAATAAAATCGGACCATTGATCGTTTTTTTTATTATTACCAACTCAGTGGCGTAACCAGGGATCTTGCAGGGAGG